CCCCAAAACCCCAAAACCCCAAAACCCCACATATCTGATATTACTCTATAATATAAAAACGTATTTGTAATAATAAAATGTAAATATCTCACTTTTTATTAAATAATCTTATTAAATTTTTAATGGACATTATCCCGATAATCTTTGCAAGTGAAAATAATACCTCAGAAATTGATCCTGAGTTTTCAGATACGCCCTTCAGAAAAATAAGATATACAATGGCTGCTTTACTCATCATAAACACGATTATTTTCATCTCAGCAATATACTTGACCTATCGGCTGTTCAAGTTGCTTAAGTGCTCAGATTTTGTCATGCTCCAAACAATTCTCTTCATTGATATGATCGTTATATTAAAGGAGATCTATCTAATTCTATATATAGCAGCAAGATAGGGACATGATATCTTGATATCAAATCTTTTCTTTAACATACTGCTACTTTTTGGAAACAATTTCTTCCTTATGGCTTTTGTCCTAACTAGCTCCAAATGGTAATTCTTCACTAAATTTTAAACCATTTATAATCATAGTTCTCCTTATTAATTAGTTTTTCAATCAAGGGTTAATCTTATTGTTTTTGTAGGGTTAACTTCTAAATTATTGCTTAGTCATAGATTTCTGGGGATAGATTATACTACGAAGAAAATATTGTGAGATTAAAGAAAGGTACATAAATAGCAAATGTAATCATTACTTTGATATGCATGGGACTAATGATTTTAATGATGACCTCAGATAAAAAAAGGTAATATTAATCAACATTATAAACTTAAAAACGCGGAGAAAGAGTCTAATTTTAAAATATTTATAGTGGAGGCTTTGATTATGAAAAAGTTTATTCTGCATTTTTAGTAGGATCATTTAGTTTAGGACTAATTATGTTAGCAATAGTAACAAGAAAACTTATAGTTACTTTAAGAAGTTACTATCCAGAGTTTTACTATGAAGAGAGGAAATACATTTTATCTATGACTTTAATATTGCTTATAGCTATGAGTGCAAAAGTTGTATTTGGAATATACAGATTTACTATTCCTAATATCACATACTTCTTCATTGATAGCGAGAGAAAAGATGACTGGGATTCACCTACTTATTTCATTTTAGGTTTCACAATATCTGAATATCTACCAGTTACCTCACTATTATCAACTTTTTGGTACGGTTTGACTAGAAGAAATAAAGTTATTAAATCTCGTAAATATTCAAACCCTTAATCTTCTGAGTACACATCTTCATTCTTTGGGGATGAAGAAGAAGATGAGGATGATGATATCTACTCATAGAATCCCTTTGGTATAGGAAAAACAGCTAAAATTTAACCAATATCAATGAGTCGTAGAGTTACAGATGATGAAAATTTATTAACATAAAAGACAAAAACTAGTTTAAATCGAGGCCTATCATGATGAGAATTGGCATTATATATCAAATAATATAAATAATCAAAAGTGAGTTATTAGTAAAGTAAGTTTATTTTAACACTTCTATTGAACTAATATTTTTCAAAATCGTATTATTACTTCTCGGGGTTTTGGGGTTTTGGGGTTTTGGGG